TTTGACTCATTTTCTTGTTTTGTGGTAGATTAGTTTCAATACCTAATAATAATTAATAATTCTTGCATTTGGTATAGTGATTTAGTGCTTTTCACATGGGAAAGATGTCCCAAGGTGCTTCAGGAATTACTGTGAAGTGGAATGACTGTGTATCTTAGGTGACATGGCAGCCCAGTTGTGCCCAGCAATGCCCCACAAACAGCCATGAAGTTGTCACGGTTCTTGTCGGGTGACATTCATGGTCCTTTCGCGTGCACTCTGCAAGTTACAGTCCTTCTTCTTTCCCTTTTTTCCAGGGGATATAGGCCCAGTCAGAGCAATCTCAGGAATTACCCGCAACACTTTATCTTATATACCATTCTTATTTATTCAACAAGTCATATTCCACAAACCGAATTTCCCAAATATGGCACAACGATGCAAAAATAATCCCTCAAGAAAAAAAATAATAAATTGGTCACTTCAATCCATGACTATTTGTGGGACACTGCTGTGTGCATTTGGCTGCTGCGTTTCGCCCACAGGCATACTGTCAATTCACTTTACAGTATATTCTGTAAAGTGCTTTGAGATGTTTAGAAGATGTGAAAAGTGCTGTATCAGATGAAAGGAATTTTTTTATTTTTCAATAAAAATAAAAACTTTAGCACAACAGGTAATCCTATACTTTGTAAATGACTGAGCCTCAAACAAACCAAGACCTACCAAGCGCAGACTGCCTCCATTGGTCAGCAGTTTCCAACACATACTTCTCCTCTGTTTCCCAAGTGTCCCAATTTTCTCCTGTTCTCTATCTTTTATCCCTAACTTGTTCCTTATTCTTGAGACTGCACATACGTCATTCTAATCAGAACATTCTCGGCAACTGTGTTGTAAGTTGCTCTGGTGCTGACTTCATTGATCCATGCTGGATTTAGTGCCATTGTGTTAAATCATCAGTGCCCGCATTCCAAAGAAATTTATGGAAATCAATGGCATAATGTAAATTTCATGAGTGGGAACATTTCTATTGACATAATAGAAGGTTCAGAGGGTTGGAAATCGCCATTGTGAGTTTCAAAAATCATTTTTTTTAAAAAAATGCTGAAGCTGCAAGATGACAAGAAAAATAAATGTAATTGAAGTAAAATGTATGACTAGAAAGCAATTATTGGTGCCACGTGGGGTAGAGGTTAAAGAACCTACGTTCAATATATTCAGTATATCTATTCAATGAATCCTCTGTATCCCAATGTACAATATTCCTGCAATGTAACCTGTGATCATACATCCCATGATGTATCCTGGAAAACAATCCTATAAGAACCATAATAACAGATGCTTTTTCTTTATTATATAACATGTTAAATGTCTTATAATGTGGAGAGGGAAGGTGTTTTTTAGTGATAAGAGTTGTTGCAAACTTCAATAAAATGACTTGGACAAAGTGACATTTTCTGTAGGTCCATCTGCTGCATGTATTTTCACCAACTGGATTTATCCTATGTATTTTTAGTTGAGAGGGGTATGAAGCAGGCTGCTTGTTGAGCTATTCATTCTGTTGCAAATATCCTTGACTCCTCGGCTGTGGGAAATCCCCACAACAATTTCCTGGGGTGCATGGGTATTGTTCTTGAAAGAGCTACTTTGCATCTCTTCCGAAGGTTGTGGATTAAATCAAAAATATTATCATTAGTTCTACTTTTGGCTGAAGGGGGATTTAAACAATAAAGGTCACCTTACACATGTTGCCATATTCAGCTTCCGATTGTCTTCACTTGCTCCAAGCATTTTAAATTGATCACAGATGGGACTTTTGTCCTTGTTTTTTTTCAGAATTTAATGAAAGGACATGCAGTGTTCTCCTAAATGTCACTGACACCACTTCCCCCCACCCCTTTCCTGAGCACCGCTAAACTTGTTTTTTTTGTTGGGCTATTTGCACAGGTTCTTTCATTACCTGGTGTTTCACCTTGGAGCTAACTCTAATCTTGCCCCCCCCACCCCCAGGATAACAGGGAGCCAGTTGAAAGAATTGTCTTTATTGTGATAAAATGTGAATAAATTCACTTAGCATTTATCCCACTCCTTGTTTTCCCTGAAAGGGAAAAAAAACTGATTTCCAGGTTGAGGGGATTCAGTGATGTAAATATATTTCTATAACATCTCATTTGAGAAGGGATGTTACTCTTTATCACCAGGAGAGAATGGAATAGAATTTCATCAGTTTCAAATACCATAATGAATTACTTTGCAATATTCTGGTTCCTATTAAAACAAAACAAAACGCGGGAAATCCTTGAGAGTAAGAAAGGTAGTCATCAAAATGTGCTTTCTATTTGTTCTGAAAGTACAAGCATTAAATGCATCTTCAGAAAGAGACAAACCTATGCAGCCAAAGTTAGATTAAACTTCAATAAAATAATAACTCTTGGTTACTCTTAACAAGAGTAAAATGTGCCTTAAACATTGCATCTCAGTTGTGGCCCACAGCTATGAAATTATAATTTTACTTCTTGCATTCGGTATACAGCTGTGACTCATCAAGTTGAAACGCATTTAAGAACTTGACAGTAATTATTAAGTGTCTTAAAGCATTCCCCAGCAATTAAATGTAATAACTGTACACTTGCAGGGAATATAACCGACAACTCACAACTATGCACAAACAGCCAGGAGGTGAACGAGCAACGCAGGTTGATTTTTTTTTTTGGTTAGCAGGACACTTGCAGAAAACTATCGCCATGCTTAAAGAGTATCCAAACCAAACTGAGTTCCATGCTTCCCACCGACACATGGAAATTTCAGAAATTTATTGGAATGCAATGTACACTCGCCCTCAAGGGATGCATCCTGCTTGTGTAATTCCAGAGAGTATTAGGTGCAGGTTAGCAAGGCTTGGGGATCCCAGAGTGTGTGTTGGGGTGCTGCTGTGGTAATGCTATATTGTTGACCTACCTTCTCTGAAAACTGAGCCAAAGTACTCATTTAGCAGCTCCTCCACTGCAAACTTGCCTCTTTTATTGGCCATATCTCTATATTGACTATCCATCTATTAATGTTCTTGAAGAAAGCATTATTATTACTTTTTACATCTTTTTGGCATATTTTCTCTCATACTACTTTTGGTCTTCCTAATCCCTTTGCAAGTTCCCTATATGCTTCATATATTTGTCTTGGCTTTCATCTGTTTTTCTCTGCTCTGTAACCCTAAACTTAAATTGTTAAAGGAGGAGGTAGATGCTTGTTAAATCGAATGTTACAATGATGGAATGCCTACAAATAATTGCCATACTTTACAGTAAAATCCTCTGAAGTGCCTTGTGATTTTTCTTGATGTGATGCAATGCTATACCAAATGAGGAATTATTATTTATAAATGCTGTATTGATACAAGTACAAAAGCTATTTCTTGAAACACAAATGCCTTTTTTAAAAGAATTTGGGAGGAAAAAAAGTAAAATAGCAGCATTACTCTCTTCACTCTACAAATTTCAGTCTTAAAACCAATCAGAAGTACTTTTAAGATGGAAACTGCATTCATCTATATATTGGGACTCATGTTTAAGAGATAAACATAGGAAAAGTCCATCTGGCTTGTCCCAAAGTAAAAATAATATAAATTATATTATTCAATATTTCATACCTATCAATTGATGCCTCTGCTAAATCACTATTTAACTTCATTGGGTTTTCTGACACAATCTGCCTCTGCCACTTTCCTGCGTAATCTTGTTCACGTATATATCGCTGTCTTTTAAGTAATTCAGTGCTCCGAGACACTACCGTGTAGAAAGGGTGCAATATAAATGCAAGTTGTTGTAGTTACATTTAAACTGTTGGTTTACCTTCCCACATGAGCTGGTCCTCTTGACTCAAATGCTTAATTTCAGCTATCAGTTCAGTTGCCCATCACTGTACCCCCTCTAATACCAAATTGACTTTACTTTGATACAGCCACTAGAATTGTGCCCCATAACCCCACCCCCCCACACACACATACACATCCCCTCTAACAGCCCTCGGGTACAATTCTAAACCTGCATTGCTTTCAATTGACTCAAACTTATTTATTTGTCATTCAGCCTCACGTGTAAACAGATCTTAGCATGACTGCTTCTCCATGCAGTTACAGTCGTCCTGTATTGTTGCACTTTTGTGGCATATTTGAACTTCTGGATTTAGAAAATAAACACGTTCTGGGTTGTCTCTGTATATTTTAAGCTATTATGGTCCAAACTGCACAGCAACTGGGAAATGAGCTCTTATGTGCGGCTTATATAAATATTTATTTGGGTCAGATCACACCAAATGTAAACAGTTTTGGAAAATCTGTTATCCTCTTACTGCTACTAGCTGATTTTATATTAAGCCATCATGAGAGGAAATCTCTTAACTTGAGCACGACTGCTAAGCTAGGAATGCTTGCATTTTATCTTTCACTTTGTACTCTGTACCTGTTATGTGAACGGGTAGAATATTGTGTGAACATGGTTAAAATTTAGGATAGAGTATCCTTTGACATTCCTCAAGCTCAGCAGACCCGTTTTACCTCTCCACTTCTCAGTCCTACACCCTCTCTGAGTGCCAAATTCTAGGTACTATTGCAGTGGGTTCAAGAGTAGCTACTGGAAAAATATTTTGCCTTCACTTACATTTAATAATCCATTAATACAGTATTTGAGTTTCAGTGTTCAAAATCCCATTTTTATGTTTGAGTCAAAAGCAATTAGTGAGTTTTAGGTGTTTATGAGATATTTCTTGATAGTAGAAATATACGCATTCAAGGATTGGATCAAATTTTCTGTGGTGCAGAGGTGAGTTTCTTATGGTGTTCAGCAGTTTTTATAATCCATGGCAATTTCAACTAGCTTTTGTATGGTCACTGATTATTTTCATTTTACACTAGTCAATATTCAGAGTTGCAATTGTTTTAAGTTCGTGGATGAGTACCTGCGATTTTGTGATGTAAATGCAAAAATTTGGAAATGCACTCAACCAACACCTTTTTGTCATTGCAGGTAAATTTTGTAGTGTGCCAGCTGTTTGCCTTGCTAGCAAGTGTATGGTTCAGACTTTATCTTCACCCAAGTAAAAGTAGCAGCTATGTCAGGCATGCTGTTGCCACACTTCTGGGGTTTTACCTTGCATTATTCTGCTTTGGGTGGTAAGTATTACAATGCTCATCTTTTAAAGTCTATGAAATTTCCCACCACTTTGAGGTTTGGCTGCTCCAGGGCCCTAAACTTTCTTGTGGTCTTAAACACTGTTTCAATGGTTGGGCCTTCTGACTTTTATGTATGTAAGGTTCTACAGGTGCTATACTATCTTTGTCCATGCCTAAGTCCATTGCTGTTTTTTTTTGTGGGACTGCAAAATTATTTTTCCTTACTTTTCCTTGTTCAATAAAGTTGTCTGGTTTTGACCTTATCTGCTATTCTGCACATACATTTACAATGGGGTTAAATATAAACAAAAGCCATATACTGCAGATGCTGAATCTGAAACAAAAACAGAAGTCGCTGGGAACACACTGTATCTATGGAGAAAGAAAAGTGAGTCAACATTTCAGGTCCACGCTCCTTCATCAGAACTGGGGCATGCTGGAAGGGAGAGGCTTTTAAGGGCTAACAGAGAGCGGAAGGAAGGAAGACAAAGAAGAAAATGGGGTAGAGGATGGGATGATGGATTAAAGAGATGTTAATGACGCAAAACAAAGGGGAAGGGGGTTGCCACAAAGCAGGGGAATCGAGGTGTTAATAATGCAAAACAAAAGGGGAAAATTTGCAACAAAATAGGCAGACTAACAACAACAACAACAAAATGACATTTATATAGCACCTTTCACGTCAGAAGGACGTCCCAAGGCGCTGGACAGAAAGAGTTTCGGACCACAAAGAGAAATGGTGTGTCTGGGATCCAGATGATGTGATAATGGTCACAGAAGAGGGGGAAGGTGAGCTGTTATGGTCCGAAATTGTTGAAATCAATATTGAGGCCAGTATCAATATCTCTGATACTGTCCTCAATAAACATATCAATGTTTCATGATCAGGAATATGAACCCTTGTCAATGTTTCATTTTCCTCCTCTGAGTCCAAGAGTTCTGAAGCAGTTGTGCAAATGCTTCTCAGCTGAAATTGTGGCTGATTTAAAGTTCATCATATCAATGTACTCAGATGTGCCAGAGGTAAATGTTTCTCCCTGATCCCCACCTCTCATGCAGTTCTGAATGGCTAAGTCTGTGATGCCAAACCCACAGCATTGGACTATCATTTTATGTAAAAAGCAAATATTCTGGAAAAACAGCCGTTGAAGTCCACAATATGAATTCTATTGACCAGAGACTGAACCTGGGGACTTTGCCCTATGCTTAAGGGTGGTGACTTGTGCTGGGAATTCCATTGGTGGTAGTTGTCATTGATGCCTGATCAAAGTTGTGGAATTTTATGGGCACAGTATAGGGTGGTTGTTAGTCTGTGAAAGCATTATAGATGAGTCTGAACGATGTACTCTCTGTGACCAGGACTTCCTCTACTTTATTGTCCTCCTCAAACTCTGCTGCTTTTGCCACTGTTGATCACTCGATCCTTCTCGATCGCCTTTCCTCCCTGAAACACCTCCATAGAAACACACTCTCCTACTTACCATCCTACCTGATCCACCACCTCCACTTTGTCTCCTCCAATGTTTTTTCCCTTGCTCATTCAGATGTGGAATACCTTAGGGCTCTATCCTCTTTCCGCTCCAATTCCTCATTCACTTGTCCCTATTGGCGACATCATACGCAGACATGGGGTCAACTTCCACATGTTTACAGCTACCACCCAAATCTATGTCTCCACCTCCAGTCCTGATTCTCGGTCTACTGATGTTCTGTCTGCTTGCTTGAATGAACCTTAATTTCTTGCACATTAACATAGACAAAATTGAAACCAACCTCCTCAGCTTCTATCAACGTTGCCTCACTTCTTTCTATACTTAAGCATTTTGTGAGGCTTTTTTGCCCCAAACATTTTAAAAATGGGAAATCAAATGCTTCTGAAACACGAAAATTACAAGATTAGGCTTGATCCAATAGAAGGCAAATTGAAAGGATTGGAACAAGGGTTACCAAGGATTTCAATTCACATACTAACCTTCATGCATAATTTTCAGCATCCTCCCACCCCACCTCTTTTCCTTTGCTTAGGCATTTTGAAAGTGTGAAACTACAGAATCGAGTTTGTTGCTCTCTTAAATTAACAGGTAAATGAAGTAGAATCAAGATCAGAAAATACTTCTTCAGTAAACATCAGTAGCAACAGTAGCATCCTCGAAGACCATAAGTGCAGAATAAATAGGGTAGATGAATAGGTACTTGGAAAGTAAGGACCTTAGGTGATATGGATAAAAAACAGGAAATTGGATTAGAATAATAATTTGGCCATGTGTGGGACACTGCTGTGCGCAATTGATTGCTGTGTTTTCGCCTACAAAATATACAGTCAATTCACTTTACAGTATATTTTATGAGGCACTTTGCGACATCTCAACAATGTGATAAGGAGTCCTGTAGCTCAGTGGTTAGAGCACTCACTTTGCAAGCGAGACACCTGGGTTCAATTCGAGGCAGGGTGAAACCTTGGGCAAGTTTCCTTACTCCACACGCCTAATAATAATCCCTTCAAAAAAACAAAACAATAACAAATTGTTCATTTTCAATCCACGACTGCTATGCGTTTCACCCACAAATATAGTCAATTCACTTTTATAGTATATTCTGTGAAGCGCTTTGAGACGTCTAGAAGACGTGAAAAGCGCTGCATCAAATGCAAGAATTATATATTATTATATATCAAATGTAAGTTTTATTATTATGGCTGAAAGTTTGACCAACGCTGATCAAAGGAATGGAGAGTGCAAAATAGATACCAGAAGAGTGGAGGGTATGGGCTTGAATTTAGAGCTCTAGAAGATCGTAAAGATCATAAAGATGTGATGAGGCATCAAATGCAAGGATTATTATTAACTGTCACAATCTAATAAAATGGTGAAGGAGCTCAGTGAGCTGAACAGATGAAACCGGTTCAATGTAAATCTTTTGGAATGACTCCTGTTCACACATTTTCAAGAATGCAAGAATTTGTTGTGCATTGCAATACACCAAAACCCCTTAACATCACAAAGTAATTTACATTTTTCTGCCACATCTTGGCAAGCAAAAGAGATGGAATACAGTCACCAACCACCTCAGGCTACTTCAGAACTGGTTGCATTTCAACAGTTCTCATGCAGCTTGCAAATTAGTGTTGAATTAATTGTGTTCAGCAGGAATGGTTCAATTAGCCTCCAAGGAGGAGGGGAGAAATAGTATTTCCATGTAGCCATGCCATTGCATGTATTTCACTTGTGAGATGAGTGACATCTTCTGACAAGTTTTGAGAACAATAAAAAAAATTGGTGATTTAAAATTAATCCATTTGTACTTACAATAGGCTACAGTGCTAATGGGTGGTGTGAACTACGTTAGGTCTTCTGTTCCTGATCACTATCTAGTAACCCATACTAGAAGCTACACACATGTGAATACCGGGTGCAGACATGATAAACAACGACAAGTAATTACCCTTCCTGGACCCATCTCCGCTCTCAAACTACTGCCTCATCTCCAACCTTCCTTTCCAAGGTCCTGGAATGATTAGTTGCTTCCCAGCTTCACTCCTTCCTCTTCCGCACCTCCCTTCATGGACCCCTCCAATCGGGTTTCCATGACACCCATAGCACAGTAATAGCACTGGTCAAATTGACAAATGACATTTTGTCCGTGTGTGAATTGGGCTCCCTCTGCCTCCTCATCCTCCTGACCTCTCTGCTGCCTTCGATACTGTTGACCACTCTATCTCCTCCACTGCCTCTCCTCTCACTTCAACCTTCATTGTTCTGTCCCTGAATGGTTCAGATCCTACCACTCACACTGTCTCAACTTCATCTCCACAAATGTCTTCTGCTCTAGCCCCCGCAGCATCTCGTGTGGAGTTCCTCAAGGCTCTGTCCTTGGTCCCCTCCTTTTCAATATCTATGTGCTCCCTCTTGGTGACATCATCCGCAGACGAAGAGTCAACTTCCACATGTATTCGGGTGACACTCATCTCTCCACCTCCACCCTCGTCTCCAGGACCACTGCTGTCCTGACAGAATGTTTGTCAGACATCAAGCCCTAGATGAGAGCTAACTTTCTACAGTTGAACATCAACAAGAACGAGGCTCTCCTGATTGGCTCCTGTCAGCACCTCTACTGACAGCATTACCATTCAAGGATGCCCACTCCACCTTACTAAGCCAGTCCGGAACCATGGCTTCTTGTTTGATCTTCAACTATCCTTTTTACCTCTCATGTCCCGCTCTGCCTTACTCCACCTCCGTAACATTGTCCAGCTCCAACCTCGTCCATACCACAGGCCGCTGAAACCCTCATATACACCTTCATTACCTCGAGGCTCAACTATGCAAACTCACTGCTTGTCAGCCTCCTCAACTCTTCCCTCCATAGGCTGCAGATCATCCACAACTTTGCAGCCCCTGTCCTCTCCTGCACCCGGCTCCGTGACCCTTTCACCACCATCCTCGCCACTGGCTTCCCATCACACAGAGGATACAGTTCAAGATCCTGGTCCTCACCTTCAAAGCTCTCCATGGTCTTGCTCCCCCCTATATCTGCGATCTCCTAACCCCATACCAACCTGCCTGCTCCCACCGCTCAGTGTGCTCCGGCCTGCTTCACATCCCCTGGCCTGCTTCGCGTCCCCATCTCGCCCAATCCACCATTAGTGGGTGGGCCTTCTGCCACTTTGTCCCCACCTTCTGGAACTCCATCCCGCAGTCCCTCTGCCTCGCCCCCTCCCTTGCCTCCTTCAAGATCCTTCTCAAGACCCTCTTCTTTGACCGTGCCTTCAGTCACCCTCCTTAACCCCCCCCCCCCCGCTCTCCATCCTCCCCGATCCAGACCTCCAGCTCAGGTCTGAAACACTAAATGTCCAGCACCTTGGGATATCCTCCCGACGTGAAAGGCGCTATACAAATGTAATTTTGCTATTGTTATTGCTCTACATGGAGGATAAGGCTCCGACACTGTTAAGCATTTCGAGACATGTCCAGGTGAAGGGTGTAAGTTGTTGTTGATCACAT